GGATACTGTGCTGTAGTTTCATGAAGAGAGTGGAGGACAGGATTTTTCAAACTGGTTACTCATGTTGCTATGTAGCTGCATGAACCAGTTATTGATGATTTCTGCTTTGATCTTATACATTTTGCTGGTCATCTTTCTGAAAACAAACATTACTTCAGTCAGAGTAATGGAGCACTGAGGAACCTGAAATCTGCAAGTGGCTTTATGGCAGCTTGTTCCATCCTAGAGGGCTGAGTGCTTTAGATAGATGGGCAATGATGGGGTTTGCTTAGGACTAGGGTATCTTTGGGGGACAAGGGAGTGAGCGCTTCTGGCAGATCTGTGATCCTTGCACCTTCTTTCAGTAACTGAAAATGTTAAATCCCTGTTTTTGAATGAATGGGGAGTACCTTTTTGGTTTACTTGCCAAGGTGGAAAGCTTTCTGTACCGCTCTTAGTGTTACATCTGTCAATTTTTTCTTTAAAATGTTTGTACTATTGTTTCTAAACAATATGTTATTATAAACATCCCACAACCATGGCTGGGTGTGTTTACTGATGAACTGGTGATTGAAACTGATCAGATCAAATCCAGCAAGTACTGACTAATTCTGCAGAGGAATGATGCAAGAGTCAGTAAAAGAATGGCTTCTTGTAGTTTGGGTTGAGTCCTTGTCAGTTTGTGTTGCTGGGATTTTTTCATAGCCATGTTCAGCAGGGATCAATGTTCATCAGTACCTGTCACTGTATTTCCTGCTCCTGTCAGCTTTCCCTCTGACTTTCCCTCCGTCTCTTCTGTACTGAGTGTCTTAGAGCCTCTTTACGGTGGTCAATTAATCTTTAGGGTCAGAGCTTCTCCTGGTGCTTTGATCAGCGCTTACATGTATAGCAATTTCTTTCAGCAGTGACAAATCATTTGCTCACCAGACAAAGAGTAAAAAGGCAAAAAACCTAAAAACCTTCTTTCAAAGCTGACTTCCAAGGAGTTGTTCAAATCAAGTAATGTCTCCTTCCTCCCTCCCTCCCTCCTCGCTTCCTCTCCCCTGAAAAAAAACGACCAAAACCACCAAACAAAACCCAAATAGACAACTCCCCCCACCAAGGAATCAAGGTAGATATCTTGCTCAAAATGGCATTGTAGGATGTGAGGCAAAACAAAGACAAAACTTAATGGTCCTGGGATGATTAATAAAATGATAGGTGGTGGGTTTTCAGGGCCTTGGTTGCTCTTTGCTGAGTGTCTGGGCTTGAGAGGTTTTCTCATTAGCTTTTATATGTTTCCAAATGACAATGAAGCGATCCAAGCAGTAGATTTCTGAAGGAAGATTGCAGTTCATGGGTAGTTAAAGTCACTGTTCATCGGTAGTGTGATTTAATACTGATCAGACAGTTTTATATCTAGAATGTGCTTTGTGTTACGTCAGAGGGATTCGTGATTTGTTTCATTTTGGCTGTCTGCCAGGTATTACATGAACTCTGTAAAATCCCTGTAGTGGTAGCAGTTTTCAGAGTTTTGGGTAAGAAAGACCTAATTAATACCTTATCTCTTCTTGCACCCTCTCTGCTGATGCTTTTTGTTGCTTGTGGTGCCTGTTGTTCTGTGCTGTTCTCTGCTCTTCAAAGAACTAATGCATAGTAGAAGCTGACTTATTCTGTGGCAGGAAGCATAAGCTCTTTGAAGAATATATTCAGTTGCATAGTTGTGCAAAATAACCACCATTTGAAGGTTCATCTTTTATCTGATCAAATAAATTCTGTAAAATATGGCAACATTTTCCATAATATGAGTTGCTTTTTTTGAAACTTATTGCTGTCCTTGGGCTGTAGGGCAGCAGTGGCACTTCGCTTTCAAAAGCTTCTTGCACAGACTTTGTTGCAGAGAAACTCATGTAATATATAAACATTGAGGGCTGGGAGTGATAGTTGTGTTGCAGAAGTTTATCAGAGCCAAAGAACAGATCAAAGAGGAAGATTCAGAGTCAGAGTAGCCCTGAGGTATTACTTCATAAGTAGTTCCTTTCCTCACCAGACTATATAAATTAATATTTTAAGCCTTGTCTATTTTTTTACTATCCTAAACCTAAAAATCTGGGGAAGATGGAGAGCTGGTTTGTAATGCACATATCAATAACAAAACATGTACACCCAGTAATCTGCTTGATCTTGATACTCAATACAGCTGTCATATTGGCAGAAAATCTGCCACAGATAGAAATAAGATTGAGGAGTTGTATCATGAAGTGTTTCTTAAAAGACACCTCAATTAAGACTTAACAGACCTTAGTGAAAGTTTTAAGGGTCAGATCCTCTTCTGAATATATGCCCCTGACCACACTAAGGTACCTGTTCAGGCAAGGAAGCAGGTCTTTTAGAAGGCAAAGATTAATTGAGGAAAAATGTCCCAATCTTCCCTGTGAGGTCATTTCTCCACTGGAATTTTTGTCGGGCTTGCAGCCCCATGTCGAGTTCTGACCCAAAGGATGGCAGAAGCCCTCAGCAGAGCAGATGAAACTGTGCTTTCACAGCCTGGCTTCATTCCAGGCCATTATCTAGAGCTGTAGTGGAACTCATGAGGATCCAGTGGTTGGTTTTTGCCTACTGAAAGAAGGAAAAACTGAGAGTGTGGCTGTAACCTGTTTGAACTGATACGCTCTGTTTAATGAAGGAGACCACGTATTTTCTAACTGATGTTTCTAAGTATTCCTGGAGAACACATTTAAGCGCAGTGAATTGGTGAAATCTGCTATGGACTGCATAGACAGGTCCACTTCATTTGGATCCAGTGTTTTAGTTGAGGAGTTTAAGAGCTCACCAATGTCCTTCAAGAAGCTACCATCCCACTCATTGTAACACTATGCTTCCTTCTCAAAATGTTTTGATACAGTATCTTAGCACAGCAAAAACTGGAAGGGGAATATAGTGAAATTTTTTTTTTTTTTTTTTTTTTTTTTTTTTCTGATAAGGAGGTAGACTGTAAATCCTTGGGTATTGCTGCGATTCAGTTAGCAAAGTTACACGAAGACATCCTGCCCTGAATTTATAGGAAGAAGAATCTAAAGCTGAGGTTAGGGAACAGGATTTAGGTGTTTGATACGCTTTTGAGAATGAAAGAATGTCTAATCTTTAGCCTTCAAACATACAAAAACCCAAACAAACAACAACCCACTCTCTCCATAGTTTTTCTTGTCATCTGCAAATATTCGTTAAACACCTGTTAAAGTGAAATTTTTGTAATTGGAAGAGAAGGATATACATGAAGTACTTCATAACTGCTTGTTGGCACTTCATCTCCATTTGACAAGAGTCAGGAGCACAACTTTAAGGTTATCTGTAGTATGTGTATAGGCAAGTAAATGACATCTCATGGAACATGTTTGATTTCAGAACGTCAGAGTGTTTGACATATACACTCAGCTCGCTGTATACATTCTAAGCACTTCTGATGTCCTCTGGTTTCATGTGGCAACTACTTCAGAAAAGAAGAGAAAGTAAATGGAAGGAAATAAAGTAAAATTAGACAGTCTCATATTTTTAGTAATAAGGATGTACTGAATGATTTATTACTCTTTTTTTAGTTTGTGGGGTTTTTTTAGCTGAATGTGCTGCATAGTCCTCACCATCATGATTTGGGAGGTAATTAGGGGATTTGTAATATCCCACTGGTTTGATCACAACTTCTGCTGATGACATTTTATAATGAGTATATAGCTTATAAATAACATTTTGAAGGTATAAGGTTATACAGAGATAATTACACAGCTGAAATGCATTGGCACAAGGCCAAAGGCTAAGCACTTTCCTCCATCCCTTCTAAATTGAATAACTTCACTTTATGAAGTGTATCATCAGAAATTGTTTTCATTACTCCCAGAGGGCAAATTAAGGTTAATAAAAATCCAATTCCAGATTACCCATATGTGTGAATATTTGTATTTTTAGAACCTTTCTTTGTCAATTGTATTCCTCATAGAGTGTGTATATGTGAATACAAGCACGTAGGTCATAGTTTCAGCTCATCTGTTCCTACAGTTTTGAACTCTTTCACGTCTTTCTCTCGAGACTTCCTCTAAACATGAATGTGAGACTGAGCAGCCATTGTTTCTCACATCCCATGAATCCTACCATCCTGGATTCCACTTGACCCACGTAGCAGTCATTTGACCCACCTGCCTCAGTCATCAAAACCAGTATTTGTATATCCTCTTCTTTAAATGTTATGTTAAATAACACATTCTTCATACAAGGCAACCCAGTATTTTGTGGATTCTTAGGCAATAAATTAGTTACAAATATGATCTGAAATAGCACACATGATGGAGTCACCTCTTTAGCACTCCGTATTTACAACATTAGATTATAGTCTTGTTACAAGTGCTCTCTTTTCATTCTGCTTCTTCATGCCCTTCTCTTCTCCCACTTTTAAAAAGGGGATTTCTGCTGTCTGGATAAGACAGCTCTTTCTGCCTCTTGGCATAAGAAAGAACAGTGTGTATGAAGAACAGTGTAGGAAAGGGCCAAGTGTACAGGAATATTTATGCAGAATAATTTTTCGGCCTCTATCACTGTGTGGTTCAGAGTCTGACTTTTTCAGAGATGATGTCTTTATCAGTTGGTGGATTTTCTTTCTCTATGAATTCATCAGTTTTTAAAAATCTATTTACTCTTATAGCACCGAGAATAGCTTTTGGCAGAATTATCCTATTGCTAACGTTCTGGTGTCTTTTTTTAAAAGAAGGGTTCTTTCCACCCTCAGAAATAAATTAAGGAATTAATAGATTGCTTTTGTTGATCTTAACATTAAATGAAAAAGTTTCACACCAGTTAGTTAATATTCTGTCTATTATAGTCCCAGTACTGAGAACAAAGCATTAGGAATACCAAAGAGAAGTCATAATAGGGAATGCTTGGAGTAAAAATAAATAATGTTACTATTTATAAATCTATACAACCTGGTAAACAATTGCTGCATAATTGTTTTTCTTTGTTGGATGAAACAGTGCTTAAACAATTTTTTTCTACAGGTTATTGACATGCCAGAACACAATCCTGGAGATATGGGTGGAACAATGAGACTGGGGAAGAGGAGGACTGTTTTCAAAGCACAAAATTCTGTTTTAAGTAAGTTACATTTCTGCTCTTACGACTTACCTTTTGGATAGGAGCTCTGCAACATGGCAAAGCAAAAACACCAAAGCACATTTTGTTGAAGAACTACAACCTCAAGCAAGCATCTGGGTGACAGCTTCCCCAGGGTCATGATCCCGTTCCCTTATACATTTACCCAGGATGAGGACATAAAGAAAGAAATGAGAGACATCTGGAAGTCCCAGTGAAAAGGTTAGTTAGGGTCCAACACTTTAAATAAACAATGAGGAGACTGTTGAGGTAACTGAAATGCATTTTATGGTAGTTTAATTTATTATTTTCTTGGGAAGATTGGAGCATTTTCTTCCTATTTTCTTTATGAGTTGATAGGATGTGTGAACCAGGGCCTATTGTTCTACCCTTGAAGCTTTTTGGTAGAACTAACCGAAACTCCTACCCATCATGCTCTTGCCAGACCTAAACATTGCTTGTCATTCCCTAGAGTTGCCAGTACACCTCAGCCTTAAACGACATCTGGCCTCGCTGCCTTAGTCCTCACCTTGTCTTGACAGCGTTTTCTAGTTTATATTTTAATTATAGGCAGGCTCTGCTTAACTCAGCGCAGCCCTGGAAACGGTTTCGTTTTGTGAAAGCAAATTATTTATTGTAGGAGAGGAACATGATTTGCTGTAACAGGATGCTTCAAAGGGCAAAATAAAAGCACCCAGAATATAGAACAAAAGATTCAATTTGATCTATGTGCATTTTAAAATTGAAGTAATACTTGTCTCCTAATAATCAGCCTGTTATACAGTAGTAACATAAGTGATGCTGAAAGTGTAAAGTGGTTTCTTGTCCATCGATAAATATGGGCATATTTCTTATATTGCTCTGCCCTTGACATTGATCCGAGCTATTACTATATTTAGCTATGTTGAACTTAAGGAATGTATCCTTCTGAGCTTTTAAAAATGACATCTACTTCAGCAGGAGAACAAAGTGTAATACATATGCCCATTTAGTGAAAAATCTGCTTTTCTAGGGAATGCCTGTGCTAGTGATCTGACTGATCTGGGTGATACTTTGCCTAGGTGTGATATAGGTATGCATATCACAATGTACAAGTTGTTCTGTGGCCTAAAATAAAAATCAACATGTGTTGTAACTCTTGACTCATAATACGAGTTGTTTAGATGACTGTCTTTGTCAAAGATTCCTAGAAAGCTCTGGTAGTTTACTCAGGAAATCTGATTCCTGTTCCTAATGCTTTTTAATTTGAATGGAAATAATAGTTTTGAAAAGGTGGTTCCTTAAAATAAACACATATGCCACTTCTTGTAAAATTGCAGTACTATCACTACAATTTTTGGAGATCTTCTTGGCAGTCTTGCTCTTGTACCAACGCCTAATTGAGATATTAATCCTCATGACACTAGGATAAATTAAGAGCAAAGTTTGAGCTATGATGTTAAGTGAGAGATGTGATTGAATACTGGTTTACTGCATAGCTCTAGCCTACTACCTGTTGCTCTGCAATGTAGAGTGTACCAGATTAGGCACAGAGGATTGCAAGAGTCATTTCGATAATGAGATCAGGAAAACAGAGAAGAACAATACTCTCTGTCAGAAAAGGTATTATGCCAGCTGCCATGCATAATCTATTGAAATGGAACAGATGCCTCTAAAAGGCTTCCTTCAGTGCACCTTTTGTGTACAACTATTGTAAAAGCCTACAACAACTTCATGTTGCTTGTTCACGCAAACATTTTTTATTTTGTTCTGGTCTTTACAATTTAAATTAGTTTAAGCGTGGCCTTCAGACTTCAGTCTACCTAAGCTATTTCTGCTCAACAAATGCTGAATATGATTCCTGAATAAACTCAGGTAACAGTAAACGAAAATAAACTAGTCATCCCTCTGAAAAACAGAAAGCTGGAGTGAGATGAATAGTGTCCTGTTATGTTTTACCTGTGATTTTTTTTGCAGTTTAGATTACAAGAAATAGTTGTAACAACTAGTAAAGCAACACATTCACATTACTTTCTTTTTTGTTGTATATTCAGGGAAACTTTATGGGGATGAAATGTTTGTAGAGGAGCGACACAGGCATCGATACGAGGTAAGCACTACTCATGTACTTTGTGCTCAAAAGGTAAAGCTTAAGCAAATTGTGTTTCTCTTGGCGGGCACAATTCTCCTTAAAGCCAACGGGAGATCTCTTACATAAACATAACCCCAAAATTAGTAATGGTTAGATAGTATAATTTTGGTTGAAAGGAACCTCTGTAAGTCTTCTGGTCCAACTCTCTGTTTGGAGCTGAGCCAACTTCAAAATTAGATCAGGCTGCTTAGGATTTTTTTCCATCTAGTTTTGAATCTCTCTGAAGAGAGAAATTCCATTACATCTTTTGAAAACCTGTTCCAACGCTTAACCACATCATCATGAACCCTTTTTTCCCCTTGTGTCTAATAGAAGATTTCCTTGGGCAATTTCTCTTTTACCTCAGTCTTGTGCTGTGCGTCTATGAGCAGAGTCTGGCTCAGTCATCTTTATACCATCCCATTAGATAGCTGAATTCAGCAATGAGATCCACCCTTTGCCTTCTCTTCTTCAGCTGAACAAATCCAGCTCATCCAGTCTTTTCTATGTTGCGCGTGGTCCACCTTCCTAACCATCCGGGTTGGACCTCCTGTGGACTTGCAATCTCTTCCTGGTACTTAGGGACCTGAAACTAGGCAGAGTATCACAGAGGTGTTCTTACAAGTGTTCAATAGAGGGGAATAATGTAGTACACTGTTTCTGTGGTAAACATGGTGGAGTCGCTTAGCAAAATGGTCTTGGAGGGTGATGTCAGATATTACCTGACTTGTCTTCCTGTGAAGTATTTGAAAAGTAAAGGTTTATAATCCTTAAATGCATTGCTCCTTGGTGATTTGGTTTATTTAAAGGCTTAGTTTATGTTCAGGTAGTGCATATTCTTTCACAGACTAAATGTAGGCAGACTTCAGATATCTGCATCTTGGAGGCTAATTCAGATCACTTGCTTCCTACCATCCAGCTCTGTAGGACCCTTGTATGGGCCCACTCCTCTGCTTGAGAACATTTGAGCAAAGGTGTCTGTGAACACATTCAAAACACTGTCATTCAAGGAGACAGGCAAGAGCTGGACTCCTAGAGTTATCTCTGAGGTAGTCTGGAAGGGACCTGACTCCATCAGTGTCTCCACAGGGGCCTGAGCTGTGATATGTATGCGTGCTACAAACTGATTCAGACATTGGTAAGTTTCCTTAAAAAGCTGGAAGGAGAATGGTGGTAAAGGCTCAGAGTTTGAATATTAACTGAGTGGTTAGAACATCACCAAGGAAGTGAAACAGCTCAATCTGCAGAGCTCCTCATTTTCAAGGAGGAGCTGAAGCACAGCTTGTGTCATAACCACTGGAATGCAGAGTTCAAATAAGAGGGCAGTCTTTATTCCTACTGTAGTGGGCCATTTAAAAAGCCAGGAAAGCTTCTCAGAATCAGGAGGACAGCAAGCAGAAGGGACCTTGGCTTTAATCTTTTGAGTGTTATGTAGTAGGTTTTAAAATTAGTGAATCATCTCTTACTAGATAAGCATGCCCACTTTTACAAATTTCTACAAGAGTTGTCAAAACAAGAAAATAAAAGTTCCCAACTCTTTTCTCAATTCTTTTCATTCTTGTATGCATTCTAAAAACATTACGATTAACTACTACTGTTTGTTAAATCCAAGAATAAATAGCACTACAATTATTATTACTTTCACTATTTCAGGTGAACCCAGAATTGACCCACTGCTTTGAAGAGAAAGGTTTGAAATTTGTTGGCCATGATACAGAAGGGAACAGAATGGAAATTATTGAACTGGAGAGTGAGTGTCTTGTCTGTAGTACTTTCCACATGTATTAAAAACATGTAAACTATTAGTTGTTAAATGGCACGTGCACACAATATTTAGCTGTCATAACAGCCAAGATCAAATTGGGAGATACTGCTGTGGGTATACAGTGGCTATAGATACTGTGGGAGATACAGTGGGTATATATTCAGAGGATGTTAGGAGAAGTCTTACACTTCTCAAGGGCTATGCGTGTATTTGATTATCGGGGAGACATGCTTCTTTTCCAAAAGCTCATAATTCTAGTTTAGTGGGATTTGGCCATTTAGAAGTGATTTGGGAGGTCATCTAGTCCAAGCCTCTGCTTCAACACAAGGCTGCCTTCAAATATAGATCAGGTTGCTGAGGGCCATATCAGTCTACTTTTGAGTATCTCCCAAGTATCCTGTTGGTTAGACTTCAAACCACTCACCACTGCTCTTTGAGTCCAGCATTTTTTAACCCACTTTGTAGTCTACCCACACTCTGTAGCTCCCAACTTGGATGCTAGGAAACCATACCAAAAGCCTTGCTGAAGTCAGGGTAAAGGAAGGCTACTGCTCTCCCTGCATACAAAGACTGGTTATTCCCAAGCTTGTTGTGTCCAGTTGTCTTCCTGTTGTTCGTGTGTCTGGAAATGCCTTGGAGGAGGATTTGTTTCATAATCTTGCTATAAACAGAGGTTAGGCTGAGCGTCCTGTAGTTCCTTGTATCCTTCTTTTTGTCTTTCTTGAAGAAGGGCATTGGTGACTGCTTTTTTCCAGTCATCAGGGACCTCTCATGATCCCTGTGGCCTTTTAAAGATAACAACCAGCTTCACAATGATATTGGCCTGCTCCCTAAGCACCCTCAAGTATTCTTAATTGGATTCCAGTAACTAATATATGTTTGGTTTGCTTGAGTATATGAAATATGTATGCATGCAATATAGCTGAAGTATAAAACATCACTGGAATATTGAAAACTTGACTAGGTAAAGCTGTCAGCAACCTGATTTAACTTTGAACTTGACCCTGCTTTGAGCAGGAGGTGGGACTAGAGACATTTCAAGATGCCTTCCAATCAGTTTGTGTATCTTTCAGTTACCCGCTGTTTAGAATCACAGGAAAAAAAGTATGAAAATCAAATAGGAAGCAAGTTCCTTTCACAGAAGTGATTCAGATAAAGGAGGGTTTGATACTGTGGAAATCTGGTAAATTTGGACTACTTTAGCATGTAAGACATGATATCTTTTCTGAAAGGTTCTGAAATAAAAAGGAGCTACACTGCACATATTTGTTGAATGCTACACAGAGCAGCTTTTGGAAATAATCCCTTTGATTTTGCTTGATTCTTTGATTAACTCCTTGCTGTTAAGTCATTGGGGGCTAGATGAGTATCAGGCACCCGAAGATGCAGGCTACCTTACAACATGTTTTTTCTTTTCTTACATGGCTCCTAATTGCCATTGGTTAAGATAAACTCCATAACATAAATTTATCATAAGAATACATTATCATCCAATGGAGTACTATTTGTGACATGATGCTCCGGAAAATTCAGTTTATACTCCATGGTATGCTGAAGAACAGTGCTGTAATTTTGAACCTGGGTTTATAAGTAGGTGTCTATATTCAGTGTCAAGCAACTGCACCATAGAGAGTAATCTGAGAGCAAAGGATACATGTGAATTCATAAACTCCTAATTGTCATGGTGTTCTTTGTTTAATTTGCTCCTGATAGATTACCTCTGTTATGCATGCTGGTGTTGGGAGGCTATTTTGTCTGCCCTGCATGAAACAACTTCTATAGAAAGCATTGTGAAATAAATCAGGCAGGATTTTTAAATTGCGTGTTACTGTGAAAAGAATAAAAGCGGCAGTAAAACCTGGAATTATTTCAGAATGGGCTGCAAGGAGATTCTGATTACTAAAGAAAAACAATCATCATTGGGAGGAGGGTGAGTTGGAGCGGAAGCACAGAAATAGCAGTACACCAGGTAGCTTAGGCAAAGCTTTTAAGCAAAATAACCCCACAGGAATATTTGATGCTTTGTCATTGTCTTGTTTTACAGCTTTAAAGAACTAAATTGCATGGTAGAGAGAAAGAAGTTATGGGATAAATTTAGGATCCAGGTTCTCTTTAAGACATAGCAGCAGAGATAAGAGCAGTATACTAGATCATCTAGTTTATCTTCATAGAAGAAACCCCCAGCTTTCTTGTTACCGCTTATTGTGTACTGCAGAGAAATTCCTTGAAAGTTTGGGATTGTTTTGGAAATTGTTGAACCAGAAGACATCTGTGGTTCGTTTTGTCCAGTATCCTGGCACTAGAAGTGGTTAATGTTAGCTCCTTTAAAACAATATTCAAAGAAGGAAAAGGGGCACGCATGGAAGAGTATGAAAACATTGTTCCTTTCTTTCAAAGAAGACAGATGGGAAGCAGAAGCAGTAGTAAAGAGGTGCTTTGTTTGGGAAACAGAGATCTGAAGATTTAAGAGAAGGTGAAGCAGCCTGGCTTGTTTAGCTTAGCAGATGGAGTTGAATGATGGTGATATTGTCATACTTAATCACACAGGATAAAGAGCAGTAAAAAACAGCACCATAAGAAATGGGTATAAGTTGGCTGTAACAAAGATGGCCAGGGAATTAGGAAAAGGTTTCCAACAAAAGGAGAAAGTATCAGAAGAGCTTTCCAGTGGGAGCAAAATAACCTAGGGAGTGTTATGGCAGAGCCTTGACCCTTTGTGTGTGAGACTACACAATGTAGCTGCATTCACTAACAGGAGACTGGACTTAATGTCCCAGGAGATCCCTTCTAGGCCTAATTATTTGAAGTTTATTTCCCCCAGTTTTCTCTGTACGTTGCTTTCATATCCATCTCTTAGTGTGTAAATAGTTGCTGTATGGTAATGCTTGGTGTTTTAGGAACTGTTTTATTTTTCCCTCAGATATGTATGGGTGCATGTTCTGAATATACATGCATAAATATGTATTGGAAACAAAAAATACTATGAAAATACATGATAAATGTAGACTTTGTTCTCCCCTTCCCCCTTACATGTCAGTACAGGTTTATTATTCAGCTTTTAATTACATCATTGTGCACATTAAGGTTGAATCACAGGATGATTTTTCCTTTATTTGCCTTACTAACCTTCTGCCTCTGTTGTCAGTTGCTTTTTGTGGGAAAAGTTAAGGTTCCTGCTGCCTCGCCCTTAAATCCACACATGCTGATCTGGCTTCTGGACTCCTGTGTGAAATCTTCAATAAACTTTTTTCCTAACAGTTGTTCTACTAACTTCTTCCTATATCTTATAATTTTATTTGACATCTATCTTGTAGATCACCCATATTTTGTGGGAGTACAGTTCCACCCAGAGTTTTCCTCAAGACCTATGAAACCTTCACCTCCATACCTTGGGCTGTTGCTAGCAGCAACTGGGACGCTCAATGCATACCTGCAACGTGGATGTAAATTGTCTCCAAGGTAATCTTTCTGTCTTACTTTCTTGCAGGTTGACAGTCACATTTTTGCCCGAACTAGTCCATCCTTCAATTTAGAAGTCCATAAGAGGAAAAGGAGTTATTCATGTATTGATTTACTTGCTCCTATGCATGCCTAACATAAACCCTGGGGTAAAAGTATCTGTAAGCACTAAGCACAGTTCCTGACTTCCTCCTTTTCAGAGGCTATTAGAGCTAAAACCACATCCATACATTATAACCAAAAAGAAGTGAAAAACCTGTAGTAAATTCATGTGAAGTTACCTCCTATGTTAACTTTCATGAGCAGTAGTTCCACAGGGAAAGAGAGTTCCTAGAGGATCAAATAATGAAGTGAAATTCTTACCTAGTTTTATTGAATGATGACAGTAACAAAAATGAAAAACACTGATTTTATTTTGCAGTACCTAAATAATTAATACCACCAATTAATACTAGAGATGGGCCTAAAACAAAACAGTTGGGATAGCTTTAGACTTATGGAAGGGTTTGGATCTAGATCAAAAATATATGGTTCAGCCAAACTAAAATAATATGTCCCAGTTGCCTTGGACATGGAGTTTTTGGTTTGTGGAATGTACAATAGTTTTTAGCCAGTGTTAACTCATTCTTGTTTATTTGGATGATATTAATAACAGTTACAATTTCATTACAATAGCAATAACAAAGAGGTCAGAGGGCAGTCTAGGGTACGATAACAAAAATGAAAAAAAATACTAAAAAAAAAAAACCACAGGATGACTGAATAATAACAGAACAGATCTAAGCCTGGCTTATTGGCTTTTCCTCTAAACAAGGCACCAAACTTACTTGTTTTGGTTGGGTTTTTCTGTTTTTGTTTTTTTTTTGAGTGTTGCTTTCTATTCTTAAGTCCTTTTCTTAAGTGAGAAATAGAAATTTTATTCAAGTTTCAGTAGTAATGGAAAATAGCCAAGCCAGACCAGATTAATCTATTTTGGTACCCTTCTCCATATGGGTATCAGTTGTCTTTCATAAATGCACTTCGTCTTTGCTCACTCTGGCCTACATCATTGTGCAATGATGTAGATACAGAGAAAATCTCTCAAACCAAGACATCTGCAAACTACAGCTTGATTGAAATACTTCTCTTACCTTAGCTTGTCATTGTTATTAGGGGTCATAACATTATTTACCTTTTAAAATTTGTGCCAGTGCATTACACAGGTCAAATTTTTGTGGTGCTTGGCAGGAAGGGGAGTCTTCAAGCACAAAGATCTTCAGTGTTTTCCTCTTGTGAACACTCTCTATCTCACAGTTCATCTTGTTTCCCAGGTCCCAATGTCCTTTCTTTTACTCCTTCCTCCCATGACTATACCTATTCATGTCTCTGAGCTTAAGAAAAATTACTTTTTTTGAATGAGTGATCTGCATGTGTCCCACTAATTTAAACTTACATCCCTTAGCATTACAGCAAATACGTTTTCTAACCTTGATTTTTAAGTTTCAGCAATTACTGAATGTGCTGCACTTACATTTATTCAAATTAATATATAATCAGTAAAAAGGCACACCCAACTCTTTTTATTCATGTTCATTCAATAAACTCCAACCAACACTTAAACATTTAGCAAAGACAAAAATTAATTGTCCAAAGCTTTATACATAAAAAATGCAGATTTTACTATTTACCAGGCTACACAGCAATCAAGCAAAACCCTCTGGCTTGAGAAAAAGCCCTGGAATAGAAAAACATTTTGAGGTGAAAAGAGGAGCATTTTGCAGGGGAGAACGTTGAGGAGGGAATTTCAGTGCTAATTAGAGCACACCCACTCATATTAACATACCCACCTGCTGAGTGGAAAGGATTTCCAATTTAAACCTTTAAACCCCATAACACTAGTGATTTCATTGAACAGGAAAGCTGAATATGTCATAAGGTCATAAGAAGACTGAAACAAATCTGAGGGGGGGTTGTTTCTGCACATGTCATCCAGCACTGGCTACATGAGTTGGAGTCATGCTGTTGACTAGAGCAAACACGTAACCTGTGGAGGCCAGCAAGTTGAACAGATTACCTAAAATAGGCTATTAAAAACACTAAAAGGAGAGTTAATGATGAAGTCCTGAGACAAAAGGAAATACATGTTTCAGTATAAGATTCTTAACAGGAAATCATTACCCCAAAACATTTAGCAGCCCCATAATTAGGATGTAATTTTAGAACATCTGACACCTGGACAGAAGCACTAGCTTCTAAGCAAAGCAAACAGTAAACGTAAAGATGTGTCACAATTCCCAGGAGAGTGCCCTAAATAAATAAAAGTGAATAAACCTTCTCTTAAATTTTTATGAGGTCTAGTCTGGTAGGCAGCCTGGGAATGCTTACACATAGGCCTGAGCATACCTAGCTTGAGACTGGAATGCGTCCTCTGGGGTAAAATTAGTTCCCAGGAGCTTTGGTGTGTACAGAGGCAGTTAAGAACTGAGCAACAGATTGGAGTAACTCAGTGATGAGTTATTACTTAGTTACCTGAAGTGGTAGTTGGGCATCTAAGTTGCCTTTGTGATTTCAGCCTCTTGTGCTTTACAGCATGAGTGCCCAACCATCAGACAAAGCCATGCACTTCATTTCCTTGTGAGTGCTTTTAAATCATGACCTTTTCGAAATCTTTCCATGGAAGTGCTGAAGTCACCATTTCATAAGGAGCTGAGAGGCTGCCAGTTTACATATTTCCTTTTAAAGGGCAGAGAGCTCTAGAAACACAGGAGATGCTCAGGAATTATACAATACCCACAGATATGCTGCTTTTCAAGAGAAATCAAAAGATTTTAATAGAAAACCAGTGGATTAAGAGAAGAACTTCAGATGTAGTGTTGGCTTCTACTGAGTCTTACAGAATTTCACTTGGAGAAAATAATAAAAACTGGCTTATCTTTGGGAACAGTGTCATATAGATTGCAAAACCACTGATGTACAATAAAGCCATAGTTTTGGTTTGTTTTGTTGGCTTTTTGTTTAGTTTTGTTTTTTCCCAGAGCAAGTTTAGCATCAGCAGGTTTTATTTTTTCTTTCCCCTCAACCAACATCTTTATTAATGGCCTGCAAGAGTAGGCTACAGTATATTAATGATATTTGCAAATAATATAATTCAAAGAGGAGCTGAAAGCACTGTTCATGACAAAGAAATAACATAAAAAGATATAGAGAATTTAGAAACCTGAGCTGAAAATAACGAAATACTGTGTTTCTTTGGAGGAGGAGAGTAACAGGCTAAAGATAAATAATTTAAACACAAATGTCCAGTAGATGGGAAGAAATGTAGGAAGTGAGAGATGTTCCTAGGTAAGAAAGTGTGGGCAACTGAGAGTGGTGCCAAAAGAAATTTTTGCAAGTCATTAGTGAATGTGCTAATGGAAGGCACCAATCTAATGCCATCTAGTCAGAGTAATCTGTTAAGTTCTGTGCAGGTTATTAGTAAAAGATGACTTATGAGTTGCATTCAGAGACAAGGAACACAAGCGGCCAGAGGACAGAGGAGCGGGGCATCAAGAAAAAAACCTCAGAAATCTTGTCACTGTGATTCTTCCTGCACTGACATGGTCCAGCTGTGTCCCAAAACAGCTGTGTTGGGCAAGTTTGGGCAAGAACCTATAAACAGAACAGTAAACAGCCTGTGTGGTGTCTTTTGGTGTATGAGGGACAACGGAGATATCGGCAGGGCTATCTCTGATATCCCTTGGACGTTGTTCCTAACCAATAACACATCTGGTACAGCATTGTATTTCTGCCATTGGCCAAATACAGCCCTCAGAGCTCTTACAGAAAATGACAGAAAAAGTTTTAAAGGAAATCCTGTCTTGACCATAGTGATACTTAGTGATGAACTTTGTAATGGTTAGTTATGGCAGTTACTTTGTCATTTTAATGTTAGATGTTTACAGTGAAGACTTTGGAACTAGTCACCCCAAGTATTTTTCTGTAGTGGCTAAGTTAATATGCACTTCAAAGGAGCCAAAATGCGCATAGTAATGGTTGAGTGGATCAGAAGCATTATGTTCTACAAGTGCCTTTTTCTCTCCATTGACTGTAAGAAGCTGGTGGCAGCTATCACAGATGAATATGTCTAAAGCTATATGAATTGAATCCCGTGCATGAGACTCAGCTGGGAGTTTTTATAACATCCAGATATGTTCTGGCTTCTTGGTTGTGATTTTCGTAGTGCTGGGTCCTAATAAAACCATTATCCTAGGTCCAGTTATGTGAGTCCAAATGTCTGGCAGGTTGGAACTGGGGAGTCTTAGGTATGTGCTGAGGGATTCTTTAATGAAATGATGTTTCATGGAAGCACAGGATCTTATAACAATGGGGATTATTATAAATGATATATGTTGATTTTTATAATCATATAATGATCATTAAAAATGCACTGAGAAATATGGGTGACTGCAATTATAACCATTGCACAATCAAGTATGCATTTATTTTAAATAATGTTTTAATGACTATAATAATTTTAATCATTCTGCTTTATGTGGGGAGAATAAATAATAATTGACAGGTTGCTTTTTGCTAGGTTCTCGAAAGCTATAACAATTGTTTTAAACAGCCACAGCCCGTGCTAAATGGAATTACATTTATCTTTAATTTGCATTGAAGAAGAAATGCACTTAGCTTGGCTCCTGCCTTTGCAGGGAATAGCATTACTGTAACAGTTGTTTAAATTGCTTACATTTCTGGAAAAGGACTTTTTTTTGGTTAATGATACATTAAAAAAGGATGAAAAAAAGCCCCTCTGAAACTGTGTCAAATCTTTTGTTTTTAAAGAATGTTGATCTGGATTTTTCAAATGAAACAACCCCCATTTTACAGTTGCCTTTGTTTCTTAATAAAAACATTGAAAGCAGGTTGTTTGGTACTTTTGAGCAGCTGTTTGAGAAATACAGGTTTAAAATTGATCTTGAGTCTTATTTCTGGTGGTTTCATGAGGTAATGCTTTCCAGCTTCATGCCATGTGGCCCCAGCTATCAGCTGCCTTCCGTACCACGCCAATAGGGAATCTTCTCATCTTGCCTCCGTCCCTGCTTTAGACTGATGCACAGCAGAGGCATGATGATGCCTCTGCCAGAGGCAATCTGAAAAGAGAGATCTGAAAAGGGCATGAATTTGGAAATAATGGAGCACATGCGGGGGAAAGCTCTTTTTATTGCTTACGTCTTGAGAAGACAGGCATCTGAGGATAAGTGAACTTTAAATCAAACCAAAACCCCATAGTGTAATTTCTCAACAGGGGATGTTTTCCTTGCTCCAGTCGGGAAATGTGTTGCAGTTCACTGCAAAGTGAAATACCAGCTACGTACTGGGTGATATTTCACTTTGGAGTGAATGTATTTCCATTAACTACAGGTAGATTATGTGTAAGGACCAAAGTGACCAAAATTCTTCATCTCGAAGGCTGAAGTGACGGACTAGATGCACTGACACTGCATACTCTTGAGTTTTGTTCTGTTTTTCTCTTGGCCACATTTTTATACTTCAGATCCCATGAAAAAAAAACCCCAACGGAATAGAACCCCCATGGTGGCCTTATATCTGCTCACTAGCTCTTTTTTGTTGGAGGCCAATGTTGTGGGAATTGTTAAAAACAAGATGAAATGGGTATCAGGTTCCTGCCCAAGATAATTGCTAACTAATTGGTACACAAACTGGTAGAAAACTTTCTGAAGGAAATGTAAACATATTTTTTCAGTTAAAGGCTCAATGTGAAAAAAAAATTCATGAAGGAAAAGCCAGGCTTATTGGATTTTCCACCACTTTCATAGCCAGCACATTTAAGTACTGTTACATAATGTTAGCAACTGTGAGCGCAAAATATCCATTTAGTTTTTGTGTTTAATATCTGTGTAGCAGCTCAGTGTAATTTGGAAGGAAGTACACATTTATTCCAAAGAGAGGTGATGACTCATTTGTGGTTAATACCACCTGGAGCTTTTCTTCAAATTACTTATCAGTTGAGTACAGTTCATATCGCAGTAAATCTTACAAACTGGACATCAGCACTGGTCTGAAGCTCTAGCACCCAGATGCAGATACGCCAAGATTCATGAGTACCTGTTTGCTTTCCAGCCCACTGGTAGCTTAATTCATGAAGAAGGTCAGGTTTCCTTGGAGTCCAAGTTCTTGCTAACACAATGCCACCTCTTCTGGGGCACTTATATCATTCAAACAGCTGAAACTGTGAGACTGACAGTTGCCTGAGTCTGAAGCCCACGGGCTGACCATTGCCTGGATGTTTCCTCTACCTTTCTTGCCACTGTGGCCTGCCTGTTAGAAATAAAACTGACTTACAGCCAGCAGGACAGCCTTAAAGTAGGGGACAACCTGAGGTGCTACTGCAAAACAGTCAAGTTAGAGTCAAATCTTGTGCTGAATTGGGCAGCGTGGAAACAGGAAATTGTCACCAGCCAACAGCCAGCAGGACAGCCTTAAAGTAGGGGAGAACCCGAGGTGCTACTGCAAAACGGTCAAAAATGCGGTTAGAGTCAAACCTTGTGCTGAATTGGGCAGCATGGAAACAGGAACAAAATTGTCACCAGCCGAATAAGTGTTTTAGCCTCTAGGCTAGTGGCTATCCAAATGACCCTCAGCTTCCACAAGCTGGGAACAGGCCTGAGAAACTGGGGTGGTCAGTCAGTGAAGTGATGGAAGCAGCCAGCGTTGTGTGACTGCTTCTATGGGCGAATGCCTCTAACCCCCAGGTCAATGAGTTGGGGAAGGACCCATGATGAGGGTGCTGGGTGGGGATCATTGTCTTCAAGAGAGGAAGCTGGGCAGTTCTCCACTCACCTCATTGGCCCCTGAGCATTTTTACTTAAGCATCTGTCTCCCATACAGTGTTGTATATGGAGCTCTAGCATATGGTTTTGGGCTGTGACTGCCACTGGGCAGAAAAAACCATTAAAAAAATGTTCTCTGAAGAGTTTGGGCTTAAACCAGGGCTATCGTGGGATTATGCAGCTCTCCACAATCACAGTTTTACCCTCTGTTCTCTGGGCAATTTCTGCTGTTTTGCTGTGATTTGAAAAATGCAAAACTGTTTTAATAATGCTGAATTTTTATTCCATGTTTCCATGGGTACTTTCAGAAAGAAGTAAGTACAACGTTGGCGATGTTGTGTTTGTCTGTGTGCATCTGGCATGCTTGATCGTACTGTTAACAACACTTTCCTCACTTGAACTGTGCAATTGTTTGCCAGCTGGCGACACGATCCAGTTGAGCGTTTCTCACTACCCTGATACGACATGTTCTTAATGTTAGAAAAGTCGGAGTATCTGTGCTGTCTCCTACAGAATTTGGTGCAGTGATTTGCTGTAACTGTGGGAGGTTTTCCAAACAGTCAGAGGTAGAAATTAAACGAGGTGGCTGTTGGTGCCACTCCTCCCGCCCCGCTCTATCGAATGGCTGTGATTTTTAGGTGGGTTTTGTTTTTTTGCGAAGAAGAGAGGGTGAAATTCAGGCTACAAAGCAGCGCTCAGTCACAAGCACCGGTGTAACTTGAGCGCAGTTTGTTCTCTGTTCCACACTGCGGTCTGGATCAAAGCTCTCCAGCTGCGGGGTTATATAGTTCCCCTGGAAACACTGCACAGCAGGCAGTCACCGCGGATCGACTGAGAAGGCTTGTGTCTGGGTGGGCCACGGGCTGGTTTATGGGCTTGATGGCTCAGTGGGAGATCAAACCCACGGCAGGGAAGCCTGATGGGACTTGAGGTCCTGTCGGCTGGAGGATGAAGGTGTATGGGATGAGTGAGATGTGACAAGAGGGGCGTACAGTGGCTGGAGTAGAGTTGGTACCCAAGGCTGGCACTGCTGTACCCACACAAATGAGGTCTGAGATCCCCACCTGTACTGTGTTAATCATAACCTGTGGTCTGATATATCACGGAACTGACCGCTCAAACGTACTTGTCAGTTCCCTGGGCTCCCTGTGCTGCCTTCTGACCTTGGGAAATTCAAGTATCTGGAAAACAGACCGTAGAAGTGAAGTATAGCAGGAGGAGGTTGAGGTTGGGGGTTCTTCTTAACTTAGAGTTAAGATAAACCTGGAGACCTGACAGACGTCACAACTGACTGAAAATATGGTTTGTGGGCATACTTCTTTCTCTCAGTCGCTGTGGTGATTCCTGTCCTTCACTGTTTACTTGTTCTTGCCACTTATAAACGGTCACTTGCATGGCAGTTTGTTCTGTGAAAACCGGTCTCCTCCTCTCAGAAAACAGCAGAACAGAATGAAACCTCGGGAAAAACTGTGAGGATATTGCTTGGTGCAATGAAAATTATTTATGTTGTGATTGGAAGAGCAAGAATTGTAATTTAAGCATAAATTGAAGCGTTCTGAGTAAATAAAGTTGTTTTAACTTTTTTGTTTTGTCAAAACAGTCATTTTCTTTATCATAAAGGAGAAATTCCTTTTAGCCTCGCTGTAAATACCTGTTATTCTCCATAGTTTTAATCACGGTTGCATGCACACAGCGCCAGCAAACTGCAGAATGAACGTATGGGAGCCAAGTGAAAAACAAAAAAAAAGGAACATACTGTTTATATGGTAGAATATTTTTTCTCATCAGTTCTTAGGCTCCAAACTTAAGCCCATTCCTGTAGAGAAAGACGTTCTAAAATACCAAAATTGAGCATGAGCTTAAAGTAATTTTCTGGAAATGGGTTGCATTTGAGGAAAGCGTTTGTCATATGCATCATCTAGGATGGAGGGTTTGAAATACAATATTTTAGATTCTTCTGACTGGGTATTGCTTTTAACAGTGACAGCTACAGTGACCTCAGCGATGACAGCTCTCCAGAGAAAGGGTTCTCTAATTCAGAAATGAGCTGAAATGATTGCATGAGATCGCAGAAATGGATGATGCTACTGAGGTAAACGGAATTGTTTTGATACTGCTTTATGACATTTATTTCTTCTAGACTTGAAACAGGAGACAAAGTTATCTTGATTCTCCATTTTGTTTCAAATCCCATCTGAGACCTTATGTTTTCTTCCTTGCCTGCAGCACTTAATTGTTTTCCTCTTCTGCTGCTTAACTCTACAATTGTTGTATTAAAGTCTGCTAAGTGTTTTGGATGCAGCTTATATGTAGGATGCTGTACAAAATCAAGTTGTGTTAGTGTTTGAAGATACAATGAAAACGCATTTGTAAATTATGTTTTCTTTTTTTTTTGTTGCTTCAGTTTGGAAGTTTGAATTGCTTTGAGTACACCATGTTGGTGTGGCTTTTTGTTTTGCATTAATATTCACCTGCAATTGCATTTGATGCATTGATACCACAAAGACATCCCAAGATAAATACTTGGATTTAATCTGCAGAGTGATAGAGATACAAGCAAGTTTTATAAAGTTGTAGCTTTGTTTGCCATAGGCTTTGCCAAAGTGATGTTGGATTGGTTGTTTTTTCACCTGTAAACACAGTAGCCATAGATTTCCTTTCAGTTTGGAGGTGATATTTCCTGTGAGACACCTGATCTCTGCAGGATCTGGGTTTGAATCTTGGTCTGTGCCAAACAGATGATTAAGGCTGCGTATGAGTGATGCATTTCTGCCTGATGGGCTCCTGATTAAAATACTGGCATGAGATGCTGGAAATTGGAGTTTAGTCCCTAGCCACAGTGTGGGTTTCTTCTGTGACTTTTAATTTATTTCTTTTTCCTTCTCATGTACCTCATGTTAAAGATAATAATATATGCGCAAATCATGAGAGTGGAGAACAGAATATTAAATGATTTCATGACCTGGTGCATGCAGATATGATCCTGATGCATGTCCTTGAGTGACAAAATGTTCCTTTTCACATTTGCCTGGATCCTTCCTACCTACAAATACCCTGGCTCTGTTTCTTAACACCAACACGTAGTACAGGAGAGCCCCTTTTGCTTTAACCTTGCTTTCCTCAGTAGAATTTATGAATCATAATTATCTGTTTATCATTACAGATGTGACTTTTTCAGTGCTTGGATGAATGTACTTTTGTGATGCTTTTAAGTAGTTATTAGTAACAAAATCAAGCTGATTTTGTTTGAAGGTGTCACTAGTGGATACTAGTTGTATCCAACAGAATTACTCTAGAAAGGATTAAATAACTAATTCCAGATATAAAAGAAGGATAGAAATACTGGCTCATTTATTTTTATCTCAGGGTTAATTGTACTTGTTAATCAGAGCTGAATACACATGTAGACTATATATAGCTTTGTGGTTTTGCTTTATGCTGTTTGACCTAGATGAAATGCACCTAAAATTTACCATAGGACTACTTTGAAGTCAGTCAATGGATTTGAGAGAAACTGACATAAGCATGAAATAAACAGAGTGACAGAAGAAATATTTTTTTTTCCCATTCAATTTAATTTTTTTCCTTCCCCTCCCTCTTTTTATGTTACAGAAAGTTGGGAACAGGACAATGCCGAATAGAAGAAAGTAAAAGTAGAAGCTGCTTACGGTCCTCATAGTGTCTCCTCCTATACTGTTTTCAATAATTCTCTTTACAAGTGGCAGTTTTACTGCTCTGTATAAATGCTGTTTCTCTTTAAAAATCACAAAATTGTCGTGCATCTTAGCTGTTAATCATTATTGTTCTTGTCCTATAGTTCAGAATGATCTCAGGTGAATATATATCAATTCACTAGTTCACAACTGTTCTTGATTTGAAGGAAGATGTGATTGTTTACAGTTTGCCTTAGAACAGAAAGATAAAATGTGTTAGTTCTTATGAATAAGAGGGAATGCACTAAAAAAATTAAGGGAAAGTTGTCTTATCCAGGAGCAGAAGAGAACTGTTTCAGGTTTGTTTCCCTATTAAGCTTGTTGTATATATATATTTTTTTACTTTTTTGCTGTTCAATATGTACAAATGAGAAATTGTTGCTATATTTCAGCTCTTTGTGATTATAATAATTGATGTTGGATACACATCTTTTCACTTTGCCTTTATAAGTGATTTCACTTTACAAAAGTTCAGGTCTGTTTGCTCTAAAGTCTGGGAATACTGAAAGTAATTCTGATCTAGAAAATTACAGGAGTGATACTAGAAGGTGGTTTTGTATTTGTATTTTTTAAGAGAGAAGGTAAATACATTTATATGTTAAAATGTAATTTGAACACTTGTATGAAAGTTGTAGAAGGACCAGTCATTAACCTGGAGCATTAGCTGGGCTCCAGCCGTACAACACTCAGTTAATTTCAATAAATGAGTGTAAAGGTGAATTAATTTTCACCATTGTCTTCCCTCATCCAGTGACCACTTCAAGGTCGTGGCACTCATCCTCCAGTAGAATGGAATGATTAGAAGAATAGAACAACCTGGACCTGAGCTATGTAACTGACAGGCTCCAAATCCCTGGGGCACCCTTTCCTCTAAAGAAAACTTTTAAATTGTGAGCTTTGTATTTCATTTTGGTTTTGGGCAAAGTAACTTTTTAAATTCATCAAAAGGTAAATATCTGAACAAAAATGAAAAGCACCGTGTCCATTATTACAGCTTAGTAAAACAATACATTTGAGACTTTGCATTGCTTTAGAAAATTTCAGGTTACACAGCCAGTTTATCTCTTCAGTAGAAAAAAAGCTTTAATGCTAATAAAATATAAAATGTATGCCTATGGCAGTATTTTTCTAAAGTGGTCTGCAAATGTGTGCCTTAGAAATAGCAGGTATTGACAGAATTGGTGTCACTGTATGTCTTCCACAATGAAAGACACTGGCTACTGGTTTGTGAGAGGTGAAGCGTTTCCTAAGATTGTCTGTAATGTGCAAATGTATTTTCAAATATATTGAATTGTGTTACTCAGACGTGTTTAGATACTGTGTTAAAAGAATCATAGTGCCAATTGTGAACTGTGGTGTCAAGGGGGGAATTTTTCATTTAGTCATGTCCGAGTTGCATTGTCTGTGAGAAGCTGTGATTTATCCAAAAAAAATGAGGGGACAAAAAGACATACAACTTGGAGTAAAGCTGGAAACAGCACCTTAATGTCCGAGCGCCCTTATCAATCCTCTTCCTGCTTACTGTGCTACACAAAGCAGTGTCCTGGAGATAAACACATCACTGTCACAAGGGATCCATCTCCCACTTGAGCTGACAGAAGCAGCAGCATGCCATTTCCAAAATGGAAGAAAGCAAATGAGCCTTTTCTGGCCAAATCCTGAGCTGCATCAGGTGGGTTGCCACCAGATCGAGGGAGGGCAGTCCTCCCCCTCTATTCAGCCCTGGTGAGGCCACACGTGGAGTGTTGTGTCAAGTTCTGGGCTGCCCAGTACAAGAGAGACATGGGCATACTGGAGGGGATCCAACAAAAGGGCACTAAGGTGACTGGAGCATCCCTCCAGTGAGGAAAGGCTGAGAATGTACTGGTTCTGGCTGGGATAGAGTTAATTTTCTTTGCAGTAGCTTGTGTGGGGCTTTGTTTTGGATTTGTGCTGGAAATAGTGTTGATAACACAGGGATGTTTTAGCTACTGCTGAGCAGTGCTTTCACAGCCTCAAGGCCTTTTCTGATTCTCACACCACCCTGCCCGTGAGGAGGCTGGAGGTGCACAAGAAGTTGGGAGGGGACACAGCTGGGACAGCTGACCCAACTGACCAAAGGGATACCCCATGCAATATGACCTCGTGGTCAGCAATAAGTGCTGGGGGAAGAAGGAAGAGGGGGGATGTTTGGAGTTATGGCCTTTGTCTTCCCAGGTTACAGTTAAACACGGTGAAGCCCTGTTTTCCTGGGGGTGGCTGAACCCCTGCCTGCCAGAGCTGGGACTGGTCAGCCTGGAGAAGAGAAGGCTCAAGGAGGGGGTAAATCTGCTCTATGAGAACCTGGAGGGAGGGTGCAAAGAGGACAGAGCCAGGCTCTTCTCAGAGGTGCCCAGTGACAGGACCAGAGACAATGGTCACAAACTGAGACAGGAGGTTTCCATCAGAAAACACTTTTTCTACCGTGAGGGTGACCGTGCACTAGCATAGGTTGCCCAGGGAAGTTGTGGATTCTCCATCCTTGGAGATAATGAAAAGCTGCCTGGATAATGGTCCTGAGCAACTGTCTCTAGCTGGCCCTACTTGAGCAGCAGGGGTGGACCGTGTGACCTACAGAGGTCCCTTCCAACCTCAACCATTTTGTGAAATGGGGCATGATTGTCACAGGAAACCTATAGTTAGGCTTCTCTCACTGAAGAGAGAGAAGAATGTGAAAACGCCAAACCTTACACACGCAGCCCAAAGCCTGAAGCAATAATTCCTAAGCATGGATGGAGGGTAAAGTTTGAAGGTTGACTTTTATCCTTCAGCAGCAAAATGTTGGTGAAGCGTACTTTTTGCATTATTTGAGACCTCTCATCCAGTTCAGGTAAGGACCTTCAGTGGAAATGTATTCATTTCCATTTTTATGTTTGCACCTGATACAGCCATCTTGCAGAGAGTGGTCTTTTGTTAGTGCTGTGGCAGGATAAGAAAGACAGCCTGCTAATGCAGAAATACACAGCACATTTTAACAAAGCGAGATTGCGTATATGTTTTTCATTTGCATGCGAATAATGGCATTTGGATTCTTGTAAGGGATAACAATGAAATAAAGCAATTTGCATTGGCGTTTTCATTCCAAAATGGGGCATGTAATGAAAGCGATGTAGGAAGAAAGATATATCTGCTCTAAGAGCTTTGATCTGCATCTGTATGTTTCATGATCATGTCTTGAAAGACTTGAATCTGGTCTTCCTCTTCGGGAAGCATGAACTGTTGAGCAGGTAACCTGATACACTAAAATGTTTACTTCAGCACCACTGGTTAAAACTCCTCTTTACCTTAAGTTGAAGCACAGCAAGGTCTGAAATCTGTATGTTCCGTCCTATGTTGGTTCAGCTGCTTAGGTTCAAGGGCTGTATTTATAATAGTAAATTTGGGCAAGGATAGGAGTCTCTTTTGAGCCCGACTGCAGTGGCTGAGATTGCTTCTTTATACCTAAACTTTCATGGACATACTGGAGTGAGTCCAGTGAAGGACCATGGATATGGAGCACCCATCATATGATGAGAGGCTGAGAGAGCTGGCATTGCTTAGCCTGGAGAAGACGTGGCTCAAGGAGAATCCTATCAATATTTATAAGTACCTGATGCGAGGGGAATAAAGAAGACAGAGCAAGACTCTTCTCAGTGGTGCCCAATAACGGAAGAAGAGGCAATAGGCAGGAACCGAAACACAGGAAATTGTACTTAAAGAGGAAACTTTTTTGTGGTGCAGGTTGAACACTGGAACAGTTTTCCCAGACAGGTGATGGAGATGCTCAGAACCTAACTGGACACAGCCCTTAACAGCTTGCTGTAGCTGACCCTCCTCTGAGCCAGGGGTTGGAGTGGACAGTCTCCAGAGGTCCCTGCCAACTTCAACGATTCTGTGATTCTGTGAAACTCACCTACCTCCTAGGAAGGGGGCCGCATTCAGGCTGCCTGTTGGGAAGGGTCCTTAGTGCATGCTAACTCTCAGAAAGGTGCCCAGGGAAGAATGCTAGATACCCCAGGACAAAGGGTGCTATATTTTGCCGGAGTGGATGATCATGTACCTGCTCCTGGGCATGTTCTGTGAGCTTGTATGTTTTACTAGCCTAGAGACAGCTAAGCCACACTGTCTGGGAAAACCTGACTGAAGATCTCTGAGGTGTCGGGAAGATCTGTTGGGTGTGTTGGAGGAGGACGCTTAAAATCTATGCCTACATCATCCAGAAGGTGGTCCTGTTTGGTAGCTTGGTTGAGTTGGAGCACAGGCTGTGCTTGTTTGTAAACAAAGGGAGCAGTGACATGCTCTAGGCAATCCTGCTTTAGCAGGGGAGTTGGACTAGATGATCTCTATGGTCCCTTCCAACTCTGAAAATTCAGTGAAATTCAGTGAAATTCAGTGAAATTCAGTGTCCAAGTTTGGATGTGACTGTGGGGCAGGTGTTGCACTTCACTGATCCTGTGGCCAGAGCTGCGTCTTCCTCAGTATCTCTATTCAAGAATTTCATCTTGGCAGCATAGGTTCCTGTTTCACTGGGATCTTTACATGTGAAGTCCTTTAGCTTCTGCTGCACATACTTTAACATGTACTGCCTTGAAGCAGAGGTTTCTTTCCTAGTTATTTAGCAGCTTGGAGAGATAACCTTCATGTGCTAATGTAATGCCTGCAGAGGTTGAATCTAATGGGGAGGCATATATTTTAAGTTTTCCTGAGGAGGATTTGCTTGGCCAACCAGCCTATTCCTCATCAGGGAGTACTTGTGGCAGGGTGGGCTGGATCCTGCACTAGCTTGCTGGTTTTCTGAAGCCACTGAAGTGGTGCCATATTCATATCACATAAAGCGTGACTTTGTTGATTACAGGGTGGTACCAAAGAGGGCTTACTGTCATCTGGCATTTGTGGGACTCAAACCTGATTCTCCTATACTCCTCTCAGGTGTCTAAGCCCTCTCTTGCCAGGAAGACACAGGAGGTTTTGACCAACAGCTTGAAAGTAGAAGCCGAGTTCTCTGCAAGAACCTGTGCAAGCAAGAATTGCAGTCCCATGCGAAAGGAGGTTCTCAGGAAAGAAAAGGCAGATTTGCAGTGAGCACAAGGGCAGGGGCTTCCTGCCAAAAAGGGTGTGGAGGAGGTTGAGAGGATCGAGTATAAGCAACAAGTGATTGACTTACCAACCTGAGCTACCCTCCTTGTGGGAGCAATGTTAGTTACCATAGCAGTGCAAATGAAAGGTTCTGCCCAAACTCTCTGTGCGTGTCTTGATGACATTAGGAAGTGTAATTACAGCATACAGGACTTCACAGTCAGCTTGGTTGCAGCTGGCAGTGAAGCCAGGTCAGCACAGAAGCAGTGTGTCCAGCAGGAGTAGGAAAGTGATTGTCCTTGGCACTGGTGAGGTCGCACCTCAAATACTGTGTTCAGTTTCGGGCTCTCCATTGCAAGAAAGACATTAAGGTGCTGGAGCCTGTTCAGAGGACAGTGAAACTGGTGAGGAGTCTAGAGCACAAGTTGTATGAGGAGCAGCTGAGGGAACACACCAGGGGAGGTTTAGATTGGGTATTAGGAAAAATTTATTCATGGAAAGAATTATCAAACATTGGAACAGGCTGCAGCAGAAAAGTAGCAGAATCACTGTCCCTGGAGGTATTTAAAGAATGGGTAGACATGGTGCTTAGGGACATGGTTTAGTGGTGGACTTGCCAAGTAAAAGGCAATAGGACAAGAGAAAATGGCCTCAAGTTGCACCAGGGGAGGTTTAGATTGGATATTAGGAAAAATTTCTTCACTGAAAGGGTTATCAAGCATTGGAACAGGCTGCCCAGGGCAGTGGTTGAGTCACCATCCCTGAGGGTATTTAAAAGACATGTAGATGTGGTGCTGAGGGACATGGTGTAAAGGTGGACTTGGCAGTGCTAGGTTAACAGTTGGACTTGATGATCTTAAAGGTCTCTTCCAACCAAAACGATTCTATGATTCTATGAACTTGGGCTGTGAAAACCTGTGTGGGACTGGCTGAAGCTCATTTCTCCCAACTTCACTGTTTGCATATGTGAGGTGACTAAGATTTGCTGGGAAAGGGAGTAAGGTGGATCAAGGAGGGAATCAGAATAACATTGCCCTTGGGAGAGCATGTGGCCTCCTCCAGCATCCTGGGGAAACTCAGTCACTGCAACATGACAGGGAAGCAAACAAACAATACAATCCTTTCTGTACCTAGGACTGAATAGCAATTCATCCTTTCACACAAGTAGGAGGAAGCTCCTTCACTTGGGCATCTGTATGAGTGTAGTGATAGATTTCTGTGCTTCAGCAT